TAAAACTGGGTAGGCCTGCCGGAAGAGATAAGTCTTCACTTGTGTCTTAAATTGCAACAATTGATCTAGCTGTAAGAGCTCTTCTGGCAGGTCGTTGGGGCAGCTGATGAAAAGGTCCTCTGGGTGATGGTCACCAGTCAGTTCTGGCTGGTTGAAGTAACTGCACCCCAGAGAACCACAGTGTTCAGGGCGGATTGTACGGGAAAATGTGATCCTGTAGGTAAAGTGGACCTAAGTCATGTAGGGCTTTAAAGGTCAAAACCATCACTTTGTACTTTGCCTGGAAAATAATTGGTAGCTAGTGGAGCGACTTTAGGATCGGTGTAATATGCTTACTCCTGGATTTTCCTGTAACCAATTTGGCTGCTGTATTTTGAACCCATGGGAGTTTCCAAACTTGGTACAAAGGTAGCCCAATTAAAGTGCATTGCAGAAAATCAATCTTGAGGTTACCTGTAAGTGTACTACCATCTTAAGGTCCTCCAAATCTAGGATGAGGCACAGTTATTTATCACCCGAAGCTGGTAGTAAGCACTTCTGACCGTTGCATTTACCTGGGCTGACATTTGGAGAAACAGATCCAGGCTGCGAACTCCCAAGTTGCAAACACAGTATTTCAGAGGGAGTGTAACCCCATCCAGAACTGGTTGACACATCTTCATCCCCAGATTAGGACCATAGGTGGGAAGCACCTCTGTTTTGTCTGGATTCAATTTGTTTTTCCTCATCAAGACCATTAACTTCTCCAGACATTCATTCAGAGGAGACACACTATCCTTAGCTGAAGCTGTTTTTGAAGGCAGGGAGAAATATATTTGGGTGTTATCAGCATACTGATAGCACCCCGCTGTATGCTTATGGATTATCTTTCCCAGTGGTTTCATGTAAATATTAAAGAGATAGAATGGCACCTTGTGGGATACTACATAACAGCTTCTTTTTTGAGAAGCAGCTATCCACAAGGACCACCATCTGAAATCTGCCTGAGAGATATGACCAGAACCACTGCAACACAGTGCCTCCAATTCCCAATTTGGTAAAAGAAAACACAGCATCCTCCTTGAACTTGTTGTCTTCCCTGTATGCGACCATTACCAATGATGAATTTGGATTGTGAGAAATGAAGTTCAGAACATCTGAAGAATGCCATGTTGAACAAGGCTTTATTGCAGACTATTGAAATAGTTGTTAAGTTAGTTGTTTTCTTTGATCCTATTTGTGGTATTAGGTTTTCCTGATAGTCTTGGAGCTGAGGCAGGGGGTTCGTGAATTTATTCCATGCTAATGGCTGCAAAATTATTAATGCATGTTACTGAAAGAAGGGCATGTTCTAAACGAGAGTTAGATGAAGATTGTGGTTAATCTTTACTTTTGCCAACTCTGTTGGAAGTTGCAGATAAACTATGTTTCTAGGACTGGTTATCTTGTCTGTTTTTAAAATGCATTTTATTTGGAAATCTTGAAAGCATAGAAACAAATCTGTAGATGGAGCAAATGCATTTTACAATCATTTTAATCCAGAGGTCCACAAACTAAGACATGTGGGCCGGATGCAGCCCTCAAGGGTAATTTACCTGGTCCCTGCCCTAAACTTTAGACTTAGGATTGCTGTAAGCCTGAAATGACTTGAAGACACACAGCAACAACCCTTATGGGAAGTGTGGGGAAGGCCCACACTTCCCATTGAAATACTTGCAAGTACTTGTTCTTCATTTTAAATATTGTGTTGTTCTCTCTCTCTCTCTCTCACACACACACACACACACACACACACACACATATATATATATATATCTCACTACAAGTAAGGTATGTGCAGTGTACATACGAATTCCCCCCCCCCCCCCCCCCCACAAATTATAGTCCAGCCCCACAACAGTCTGAGGAACTGTGTACTGGCCCTCTGGTTACAAAGTTTGAGGACCCCTGCTTTAATCAAATAATGATGGGAAGTAGTATCTGTTTTCTTGTTCTAGAACAATGTTGCTATGTTGCTGGAAACTAACTACAGAGAGAGGCTGATGACTGTATACAGTGAGGTGAAGAAGCGGCTGGACTATCAAATAGCATTGCAGCATCTCAAGAGGCGAATGGAACAAGATCATATGATCAACTGGGTGGAGCAAAATGTTAGGCAGAGTATCACACCTCAGCAGGTACTTAGAAACTGCAATTTTATGGATGCTTATGGGTGCTTATGGTCTTTTTTAAGGCAAAGGCTGAATGCTTAATAGAACATTTAATGATCTACAACAGGCAAGGGCAAACTTGGGCCCTCCAGGTGTTTTGAACTTCCAACCCCCCACAATTCCTAACAGCTTCAGGCCCTTTCATGAGGCTGAGGGAGAAAAGGAAGGGACCCGAGGCTGTTAGGATTGGTAGAGTTGAAGTCCAAAACACCTGGAGGGCCCAAGTTTGCCCATGCCTAATCTACAACATAGTTTTAGGGCAGTATGATTTTGGTTTTTCAGCTTTGTGTTTGTGTGTTTCTCTTGTCAACTTAGTGACCCCACTATATGTTTTCTTAGGTGAGAAAGAATCAGAGGTGATTTTGCCAATTGTTTCATTAACAATCTTTCATACAAGTACTAACCAGTGCCACAGCTGACCCTGCTTAAGCTTCAAAGATCAGATAGGATCTGGTGCCTTAGGGTATTTAGGCCCCCTGATTTCTAGAAACTGAAACAAAATAAAAGTCTTATAGACTTAGGAGTGAAAGAATAATGTAGTCCTCCCTTAATCTCTCCCCCCCTCATTTTTTCATTCTTATATTGATAATGTTTTTATATATATTTTAGGAGAAGGAGAGCATTGCCAAGTGCATTTTGGATCTGAAGATGCTATCAAAGTCTGCCAGACCAGCTGTCTAAATGAAACACTTACTTATGACCTCTTAAATCATCCATTTGTTCTTAATTAAAACATTAGTATCCTTCTTGTCCTGTGTATCTCTATCTGTCCTTTTGGCTGATGAAGAGAGAGTGTTGCTTTCATGAGTTGCTTTCATGACATGTTTGACTCTATAGTAACCATTATCTTGCTTAAGTGACAAAAGGTGAGAATCTGTCCCAGGAAAACCTAAAGGAAGCACCAACCCCTTTCTTTCTTTGCCATGGCAGGGAAGCACCAAAGAGGTGCCTTTATTTTCCTACCCCAGCATCTCAAAAGGCCAGAAGCATTATTGCAGTAGATACAGCACAGTGGGTCTATACTTCCTTTAGGTTCTTGACTTACCCATGCATTATATCCAAAATCTGCCCTCATGAGGACAATAAATAAATATTTTTAGCAATTTACTTTGACATGCTATTTTTTAAATTATAACATTACAGTTTGCAGTATAAATTTCTAGGCACACTTAACATAGCACATCTGTCAAATGGCACAGCACCTACATTTTTCAGAAGGGTTTCTTGACAAGTTCAGGATGGATTTTTGGTTGTTTCTTAATAAGCACTTCTAGATTGTTAAGATCTAAGACATAATCCCAGTTGCCCATATGAACCCACAAATTCTGATTAATCTTATAAATGGTGTACACATTGATGTAATTAGGACAAAAACCTAAACATTTGTGAATCTGAAAAGTATTTGCAATTGAATAGCACATTTTATTTTTGCTTGAAGAGCAAGACGTGTGATTAAATGATCCAAATGTGTGACCCCACTGAAGAGCTTGGGTTGCTTTTTAACACAATACTTCACTTTATTTCTTAATTAGTCGCTCTCCACCAAGGTGCTCCGAGCGACTTACAATCTAAAATAGCATCTACACAATATAAAAACATTCAACATAAAAACATTCAATAGTGACTATTTGGCAAATTAGATCTGATTACTTAAATGCACAACCAAACAGCCAAGTCTTGAGTGCCTTTACAAAAGGTCGTAATTCCGACATTGCTCTAATGTATGGAGGCAATGAGTTCCACAAAATTGGAGCATAGGTCGAAAAAGCTCTACGCCTTGTAGCTTCCAGGTGAATACAAATATTCAGTATGATATCCACAATGCAGACTTTTTAATTCTAACAAAGGATAAAATGATTAATATAAATTCAGTATTTTTTCCGAGATAATAGTTTTATTCTAGATGTATAGCCAAAATATTGATAGGAAAAAGCTTGCTAAATAAATACACTAATTGATAAGGCCGATGGAAATGTTGCATGTGTCCAGGCATACCAAAAAAAAAAAAAAAACCCACAACTGTACAAAATGTTCCATTTCCTGACTATTAAAAATAAAGCTACTCTGAAAATTGCAGAAAGCAGCCCCCACTACATTACTGCAATCTTATCAGATACTAAAGCAAAGATTGTTGCTCATGATTTTAAGGCATCAAAACATTACTCACCACAAGGCAGCAACCACCTTATCTCAATTATATGGCTTGGAAGATCAAAACAGCTTCATGCTAGCAGATTAGGATGTATGTGACAGCAGTGAACATAACTGTTGCCATGCACTCTCAGTTTCTTCCATCTGACCCCATTCTCTCATACATCTCCATTTTTCACATTTTCTCTGCCCAAGCTTCAGTCTGCCCATAGAGAGAAATGGCTTCTTTATCCAGTTAGCAGTTTTCTGATTTTTTTTTCATGCTATGCTATATGGTTACTGGAGAAAACACGGGAACGTAAGAGATACTGGCTGAAAATCTTACTATTCAGTGACAGTGACATTGAAAGGGAAAAGATTGTCAGTATAACCACTGTGAAATAAGGCTTTGGAAAAAAAAACTTCACTGTTATTCATTTGTGCAAGTGCAGCCACTAACATAAGCCACAAGAGTCCAGCGTTAAACCCCAGTGAAAGGATCTGATACCATTTGTTATTGCACCTTTTTCAGCTGGATGTCTACTCATTGTTTTATCTTTCACTATTAGCATTATCTCTCTGCCAGGCAGACCCCTACATTAAGGGATGGACCTGCAAAAGCTAGCTACTGTATCAGCTACTGTTGATACTGTTCTGCGATATGATTGCATCCCTGGTTATCAATTCAATTCAACTAAGGAAACAACCAAGAAGTGAGAGAAAGCAAAGCGGTTAGGTTAATAAAGATCATTAAAATTTTGGGTTTTTCTTGAAATGTGCAATTCTCATTCAGGTCCTGGTTATCGGTACTTCTGTGGTGTGTCGGAGAGACTCTTAACTCAGGGCAGAAGGATTGTAAGTCAGTGCTAGGCATCTCCAATTGAATATAGATTTGCATGCAGCAGGCTTGAGGCCTTTTTGTGAGCCCTTGGTAAGCATCTTGTCAGCATATAATATAAAATGGGTCAGATGAAGTATGTCCATTGGATGTATCCTGTTCTGTGTCCATTTTTGGAAAATAGGTTCTAAAAATCTGGATGCAAGTTTTCCGGAACTTCTTTATTCTGAAAGCATAGATAATGGGATTCATAACTGAATTGGAGTGCGAGAGTACAATAGCCATATAAACCACATATGGTGGAATCTGGAGACTGGAGAAAAGCGTGAAGCAATTCAGAATACACATTGGCAACCAACAGATGGCAAAGAAAAAGAAGACCAGGGTCAAAGATTTGGCTGTCTTAAATTCGTGTTTGTAAAATACACTGTGCCTTCTTCCATTGCATGAACATAGCTTTGATCGGATAATATAGAAAAGCCTAGTGTAAAGGACACACATGACAACCAGCGGACCGAGAGTGCCAGTGAAGAAGCTGAGGTACACCAGGTATTCCATTTTCATAACATTGGTGAAAAGACACGCCACGTTGCTTGTGTTTTTTGGTATTTCGTTTCTCCAGCCAAACATGGGAGTAAATCCTACTAGCAGTGACAAGAGCCAAACTGTTCCCAAAGCCACACGGATTCTTCTCTCAGTGGTTATCAATTTATACCTGTTGTGGCAAAAAATTAAAATGTAATATTAAAATAAACAATTTGTTGATTTTGTGTTTCTTGATCCCTCCAAACTTCCGGGATCATCCACTTTTTTTGTTGGAACAAATTAAGAACAAATTTCCTTTCCTGGAAGACTTTGTGAGTGGCAATCCACCTTTTAAATAGGTTGCAGGCCCCCTCTCCAATATTGTTTGATATATTTTAAAAAACAGTTTGAAATCAAAAGCAAACATGAGCTTCCAACCACTTCTAGATGTTTTTCTTGTTGGCAGCCTTTTCCTAGAGGTGGAAAACACCAGTTGACATCCATCCCTGTTTTAAACAAACTGAAAAGCATCCCATCATAATCTGCCTCCAGTTGTAAATGATACTCCAGGATTATTTATTTTTATTTATTTACTACATTTATATCCTACCTTTCTCGACCCCGATGGGGGCTGAAGGCAGCTTACAATATAGGCGATAATTCAATGCCTTTAAAACAATATACATCCAATATACAATTAAAAAAAACATTTCAGTTAAAAATGTAAATGAGATTAAGAGCATTGAAACATACAAAGCATTGCAACTATAAAACCACATTATCCACAATCATAGTTTATTCACAATAAAAGTTTTATCTTTTGGTAGAAATTGATTTTGCTGCTCTATCCATACCTCATGTAAATAATATGTATAAACATGGCTTATTTGAACCCTCACACAAATGTAAGTTACCAACACAAGCTCCAGGTCATGAATCCACTTTATTAAAACAATCTCTTTCTGTCTCTGTCTTTTCAAACAAGGCTGCTAGTCCTGACACAGCAGTCATAGATTTGTAGTTCAATTTCAGCTATAGAATTTTAGAAAGTTCTAAAAATTCAGCCCAAATAATTTAAGTTGACATTAAGTAAACCCAACAAACCAGAATAAAAATCAGCACTCCCCTACCCCAACACAAAGAAGTTTTCTGTATCTGACACAAGCATTTAAAATTTGGTACCCAACTCATGTGAGAAAAATCAGCAGCCAGCAAGGATGACTTACCTGACGAGTAGTCTTACTCTGAGATATCTGTCAATTGCTATGGCCAGCAAAGACATGATGGAGGCTTGAGTGAAAGTCACAGGCAAGCAGCACATGAATAGACAGGTTTTGTATGGCATCTCCAATTCTAAGGCCACCACGATGGTTGCTGGCATAACAAGCCCAACAGCAATATCAGCTACTGCCAGTGAGATGATGAAGTAGAAGATGGTCTTCTGAAACCCCTGGTTTAGTTTCAGCACCCAGATAACCAGGACATTGCCCAGGATAGCAAGCACTGCAATGACGACCTCAAAGGCAATGTAAACATTTCTCAAATCTTTTGACATTTTGGAAAACTAAGGCTTTGTTTTTTTCTCAAGTGTGAAGAAGCCAATGGTGTGAATAAACTTGAAGTAGGAGTCTGTTTCTCGAGCAAAATACGCTTTGTTAAGTATCTTAACTGATTTGGTATAATAAAGCAGCAGGAACACTAAACCCTATGACACCATGTCACAACTTCTTCAGAACCTATTGCCACACCAATCCGCAGAGAAGCACTTTTAGATTCTACCAAACGAAGCAATGAAGAGGAAGTTTTTGTTTTCATTATTACTCATAGTTCTGAAAGTGTTAACACAGCTAAAAGATGGCAATGTTTCCTCTTTTTATTAAACAGACATGGTAAAAAATATGAAGTAAATATTAAAAACCAACACACATAAAACTGAATTAGTAAAATAGAAAAGACACACATTTCTGACTAAGGACAATAATTGTTCCAGTAGATAAAAGAAGCCCACATTGGTCACATTATTTATTAAACAATTCAAACATTGAAATTTATTCCAGACAAATCATTTTGGCTTTTTCTAATTATTCTGACACTGGATAGAACCCTTTAAATTTAGAAAGGATTGAGGTCTTCTCTTTGCAAGTAAGCTGGGACAAAAGCCAATTCCTGCAACCTCTCCTGGCTTAAGTGTGATGGGAGATGCAGTCCACTAATATTTGGAGCCTGTTTTATATCTCTTTATAAGTATTGCTTGCAACTTTTTTCATATGTGATGGTCCTGTAGAACAGCAAAAAAAAAAAGGAAAAAATATACAAGAAACAATACAGAAGATATGTTTTAAAAATCCAACTGAAACCAGAATACTTCCTACTGGGAATGACAGATCCAAAACTTGAGAGGAACATTTGTTACCACTGCAAGAATAAATTATACAAGAAAATGGAAGTTCAAAGAAATCCCAACAACAGAGGACTTGTTACTGAAAATATTATAAAAACATTTTACCACAATGAAAGAGATTGGACGTCAACAACATCCCTTTCTTTTTCTTTTTCTTATTTTTTAAAGGATATTACAGCAAATTTCCCATATATTTTTCCTCAACTACCCCTCCCTACTTGTCCCTATTTAATTTACCATAACATACTCAGTTTTTCTTTTTAAGTATGTAAAAAACTTATTTTTCTTTGTTTAATAAAAATTATATTAAAAATAAGTATTGCTGTGCTGTCCTTGAATTGTGAGACATTTCAAACACAGCCCAACCAGGTTGGAAGCACAGCATACTTCTACCCCAAAGTAGAGCTTAAACACCAAGGCAATGGAGATCAAGAATGTAATCACCACAGTCTGTAATACTTCTGCATGAGGCTCAAAGGTAACCAAGTTGACATGAGATGCTACCTACCACAAGGAAGAAGTTTGTACTCAACCTTCCTGCAGTATGAGTAAACCAAAAAGCATCCTTTATTCTCTTACTTCACCACTTCTTAGGAAAAATAAGAAGAGAAGATACTTTTGTGCTTGGGTCTGGAGTACAAGGGTACCTAAGGGTCACACTATATGACATAATTAACACTATTGAGGAACCATTATGGTGAAGAGCAGGCCCCTTCAAACTGTGGCCCTCCAGGTGTTTTGGACTTCAACTCCCTGACCATTTAACAAGCTGGCTAAGGTTTTTGGGAGTTGGAGGCCCAAACACCTGGAGGACCACAGATTGAAGGGGCCTGGTGTAAAGGTTTGAATGTTGGACTAGGAAACCAGAGGCCAGACTTCAAATCCATTCTTGGCCATGGAAGCCCACTGAGTGGCAATAGCAACTCCCCTCTGAACTCATCTTGTCAAGAAAATCCTGTGATAGGGTCATCCTTATGGTCACCAGAAGTTGGAAATAACTTGAAGGCACATAATAAACAATTTAAATCCCAATGCCTTTTTATTCTAGAGTACAGTTTCTAATTATGTCATCCATAAAACACATGAAGTCCTTGGGGAGGGAGTCCAATGTGCTCCTTACCAGCACCCCAAACCCACTCAAATTTTCACTGGGAAGAATGGTTTTTGGCCAAAAACAACATTTAAAACTAAAACACGCACATGCATAAAATAGTAAGAGCCTCCCCCAAATGGTCCTAAAAGTGGGCAGATGTGATACAATGTCATTTCCAGTTGACAGAAATGGCAACCATGAGAGTACGGCTGTAGACCAAAGGATTGCTCAAAAAGGCCCTCAAGCAGACTTCCCAGGTTGGAGAAATCACATCAAAAGAGAGAGAACAATACCTCCAGCAGATTTTAAGGCTACAATTATGGATTTTGATATGACCCATGGATGAGTCAAGGGTAATTCTGCAGGGGGGGGGGTGTGAATGCTGCCTCAGGGAGCCAGCTACCTCAATTGCCAACCCCATTTCTTTGCTCAGGCACCCAAAAAGCCCAAGAAGTGGAGCCACAACAGAGAGAGTAGAGGGCATATGTGTTTTTGTGTTTTTTTTTTCCAGATTTTCCTGGGAATGACTAAGCTCTTGCCTTTTGCTACTCTGCACAAAGAAGGAGATGGTTCCTTTTCCTATCAAAGTTAATGTATGATACTCACACTGACCTGTGTATAAGTAAACCCAAGTGTTTCGGATTATTTTTTGACTAAAATTTCTAGGCCTTTACATGGTATATAGAGTATATACTACTCAAAAATGGAAAGACATAACAGAATGATAATTTCCCTGATTCATCCCCCCTTATTAATGAATGCATACCTGAGTTTCTTGGGGTTCACTTTTCACTGTTTCCATTTTCCATTCTGCAGTACTTCTTAACTCACAGAAAATGAATTTTTAAAAAGCCAATCAGCACGTCCAGTTTCTAATATAAATAACCACATTTATTTTGCTTTGGCTGCATTTGGGGGGATGCTGATTTGTGAGCACTTTCAATGAGGCAATGATAATGCACATGAGAATATTGATTTTTAATGTCATTTTCATCGAGATTTATCCACTCCAAGTGTGTGTATGCGTCTTTAAGTTGCTTGTATACTTTTATATAGTTTTCCTTCTTTTCTTTTCTTTTCTTTTTTTTTTTTTTGGCTTCCTTTATTTTCGTCCTCTTTTCTCCTTTTATTCTTTTTTCATTTCTTTTTAAAAAATAATTTTATTGCAAATTTGCAGGGGTCAGCCTTAAAAGGAAACAGTCCAAAATGGAATAGGGGGAAAAGTGGGGGGAGTGCGTGGGATAGTAAGAGGACTGGAAAAAATTAGAGGAAAAAGAAAGAAAGAAAGAAAGAAAGAGGTGTATTAAACTTCCATTTTTAATATAATGGTGTTAAAAAAACTCTCAGCTCCTAAACTCTGTTCATAGTAACATCCTGAGATTGTTTTCTTTTATCCATTCCTTGATGGGGGTCCAGTTAGTTGTTTTAGTGTGCTTGTACTGTGATCTTGCTAATAAAAATGTGAAATGGTCCATGTTCATTATGTCTAGTGTCTTTTCTAACCAGTCTTCCTTTGTTGGTATTATATTCTATCTCCAGACTCTCGTGAATACAATCCAAACTGTTGATAGACGAACAGCTTATCTATGTTCATATCCCAATCAATACTAACCATTCCTAGTAGATAATGTTCTGGTTTTAAGGGAATTGTTGTTTTCAAAGTCTTTTGACATGCTTCTTGAATTGTTTTCCAAAAGAGCTTTACTTTTTCGCAGGACCACCACATGTGGTGGAAAGTCCCATCATTGGTTCCACATTTTCAGCATTTGTTACTTGTGTTTTTTGAGAATTTTGCCAATTTGAGTGGTGCTAGGTACCATTGGTACATCATCTTCATCCAATTTTCCTTTAGGTTGTATGAGGAAGTATAATTGATTTTTCTATTCCATATTAGTTCCCATTCTTCTAGCGATAGTGTTCTCCCAATATTTCTCGCCCATGTTATCATAGACTCTTTGATGTTTTCTTCCTCTGTAGACCACTCGAGTAGCAATTTGTAAATCTTTGTGATTTGTTTTTTTCCATTAGTAATTATTTTATCCCAGGTTGTCATGGTCTCTGTAAAACCTACCAAGCTGTTTTTTAAAAGTATTATTTCAATTGCCAATACTTGCCAAGACTTTTATATAGTTTTCTTAAGCAAGTAGTATTCAGAGGTGGCTTTGAAATATATCCACTGTCCCTCAACATATCACCGAGAAACAAACTGGGAGAGAAATTACCACAAGATGGCAGAAAACTCCTAGAAGTAACCAGGAATCTGCATATCAATTGTTGAAATTCACATGTAAAAATAGATTGTGTTAGAATTTCTGGTGTCATAAGTCTCTTTGTTGTTTGTCTTCTTGAAAGGGGGTACCATACACTATTTCTACTAGTACCAGTTGCTGATCTCCTATGATTGGTGGCAAGTATATTGCCTGACCAACCTCCTCCCATACTCAATTTATGGTGGTGGGAAAAAAAGAAAACATATTTGCTGGTTTTGCATACCTTGCAATAAACACAATGGTTTCTCTGTTTTTCTTTGTTTGCTGCTTGTTGGTAACTATTTCCACAGGAAGTTACAATTTATTTGTATCTCGTAGCAGTGGCTCAGCAGAGTCACGATTTTCTCATATTGGTGGATTTAAACTCTACATAGAAATGTAACTAAGGGTCCCTCTACACAGGCCCTAAAGCCTGTGATGGGTAATGAGTTGAAACAACTTCTCAGGCAAACCCAGATTAATGTGGAAAAATTTCCCTCCTCCCCTATAGAAGGTAGTCAGAATATATACATACTAGAACAAAGCGTAAAGAAAAGTAATTGGGATTGTGGTTATTCTTAAACATCTTGTACACCTCAGAAGATTTTCACTCCCAAAGTGTCCTGTGTCTGTTTCCCTTACAAGACTGCATTTTGAAACTCTGCATTACTGAAAGTGAGCCTGCTGCATGAGAATGCTGTGGCATGCCTTTCCATCCTGAAAGCACCATGCTTCAATTTTCAGTGGGCGCCCATCTCTCTGATTTTATCAACCACTTTTAAAATATCGCATGCTTGCAAAAAGTGATTTTAAAAACCTTCCCTGCAATGAAGTTGGTGCTAGTAATTTTCTTCCCTGATTGCTGCTACACAAGTTTGCTCCATTGAGATTTATTTAATCATTTGAGTTAATTAAACCAGTCACGCAACTTGAAAATATTTCTCCCTCTGCACATTCAGTCAAGTTAAAACAAAAAAGT